GTGTACCGTCAAATCAGATCTGACTGGTACAGGAGGAGATTGCCCCTCCTTCCCTGGCAGAGCATCTGGTGGATTCGAACCGTGCACCTCTGGGACTGTAGTTGCAGCTTCTTGCCACTAGGCCACCTGAGCTCCCCAAGGACTTTTTTTTTAAGTGCTGAAGAGCAAGGGTGTTAAAAAGGTGCCCCTGAGGCACATGGTCCTCTGAAAGTTGGGTGAGGAAGGAGGCAGCTCAGAGGAGAATCTGTGCTTTGAATCGTGATGTTAGCAGAGCGCGTTGAATATATACCATTCTGCCAAAAGGAAAAGCAGGTCTGTCTCAGAGGAGGGACAGCAGAGTGCTCCTCTAGAAGCAGAGCCCGAGACTTCATCTCACGTACTGTGGGCATGTGGCCAGGAGGGCCAGTCCTTGGGAAAGGGCATCAAGCTGGGAAGATCAGAGGGCAGGGCAGTGGAAGAAGACCCTCAATGAGGTGGATCGACACAGTGACTGCAGCAGTGGGCTTCAGCGTGGAGGAGGTGGTGAATGACGCCGAACTGGGCGAGGTTTCCATCGGACGTATGTCGACTGTGTCGGAGTTGATAGCCCCAGTTAACAGCAATACCAGCATATCGTTAAAACTGCATCAAGTGAGTCTGAGCCTTGGCGACTCCTCTGTTCCAAGGCATCTCTACGTGGAGTCGAGCCTTCGACCTTACAGTTAGGCACTGACTGTGGTCAGTGTGTGCACCACTGGAGGCCTAGATGGGGAAGCGTGTTGCCAGGTGACCCACCTGTGGCATCCAGGCAGAGTCGGGGTGGGCAGCTGCACTAGGGCCTGCTTCCTCGGGGTTCTTGTCACACACAGTGCCTGTCCTGACTTTGTGACGGTCAAGGACACTCCCATTCCGCCTTTCTTGATCAGCGGCTTGAGGCTCAGCTCCAGGAAAAGGTCAGAGCCCTTGCATTTGGGTGGGACTTTAATGACCTTCAAGATGCTGTGGGCCAGGATCTCTCTGAACTCTGGTAATAACCTGTATGGTGCTGGTATCACCCCGCTTAGCAGGTGAGAAGACAGAGGCTCATAGGTGGGGTCGCTTGTCCAGGCAAATGAGGAGCAGAAGGAGAGCAGCCAACGAGGGCTCTTTCCACCACCCAGGACCCTCCAGGGTAGAAGTTCTGCTCCCCAAGTTCTAATGTTGTGTGAGATGCTCTCTCCCCTCCAGGTGGACTCTTCTCTATGTTCTTGAAGTTTCCACAAAGGGCCTGGCACACAGTAGGCCCTCAGTTGCTGTTCAGTAGATGGATGGATAGGCGGATGGATGGATGGGTGTGTGGATGGATGGACAGATGAATGGATGGATGGTTAACTGGATAGGCGGATGGATGGATGGGTGTGTGGATGGATGGACAGATGAATGGATGGATGGGTGGATGACGAGTGGGTGAAGGGGTGAATACATGGATGGATGACAGGTAGATGGGTGGATAGGTGAGAGGGGGTGAGTGGAAGTCTGGATGGATGGATGGATGGATGGACAATAGATGGCTGGGTGGGGGAATGGGGGAGTGGACAGGTGGGTGCATGGATGGATAACAGGGTATATGGGTAGAGGGATGCATGGATGTTAGGTGGGTGGATGGGGAGTAGATGATGGATGGGGCAGTGAGCAGTGAGTGAGTGGATGAGTAGTGGGTGGGTGACAGATGCATGGGTAGATGGGGAGTAGATAGGTGGAGGATGGGTAGATAGATGAGTGAATATCTGGGGGTCCTTCCTGGCCAATTCAGGTTATGGTATTTATAAATTCACCAGAAGCACATGCAGCACGTGTACCAGCATAAGAAAGACCAATCCGTCACTAAGCCTGAGGGTGGTTCTGGAAATGCTGGGGCAGCTGAGTGCGGACTCTCAGCCCCATATGGGCCAGAGCAGGGTAAACAGGGCCTGACGCTGATGTCCGAGGCAGAGCAAGCCCGGCTGGCAGCCGAAGAGCTGGGTGGGCCCGGTGGTCAGGGAGCTGGCCCAGACAGGTGCAGGTGGGCGGCTCCCCTAGTTGGCTGGCTTTGGCCGCAGCTGGGACTATTTTGGTTTTGATCAAGAGTCACACGTGACTCTCACGCATCTCGCACTGGCTGCCCGCTCCTACCGCCCCTGAGCTAATCGTCGTGCCCCCACACTCCCTGTCCACGTGGTTCCTTGGGGTCCCCAGGACTTTCTGCCTGGAGCCCCTGATGGGGCTGGGAGATTTGAGGGCCGTGCCAGACACCACCGTTCTGAAGGTGTCTCCCCAGCCTGGCAAGGATGGCGTGGAGTCAGCGTGGAGGCTGAAGAGTCTGGCTGGTTAACCCAGCTTTCTTTGCTTTAGAACTGGGAGCACTTTGTGGGTGAGACACAGAGCTCAGAGGTAGTGGCTGCTCTGGGCCACATGGCTGGGTCTGCAGCTTCTGGCTTTGTTCTTTCTAACTAAACACTTACTGAGCACTTTCTGTGTAGATGGGGGTAGGAGGGCAGGCTTCCCCCATGAACTACGGGCCCACACCCTCCATCTGTTCACCTGTCCACAGGATGGTCCAGGAGCAGTGCTGCCACAGCCAACTGGAGGAGCTGCACTGCGCCACCGGCATCAACCAGGCCAATGAGCAGGAGGGCTGTGACTCCCAGTCGGGGACCAGCCCCGAAGCCATGTTTGTGAAGGTGAGGACGGTGCGGGCCTGCTGCTGTGCCCCTGTCAGCTGGTGGGCCGTGCACCCCCGCCCAGGGTGCACCCCCGCCCAGGCGGAGGGCCCAGACCCCCTCCCATCCCAGCAGACCCCAGGACCCCTCCCATCCTAACAGGCCTCAGGACCCCTCCCATCCCAGCAGACCCCAGGACCCCTTCCATCTCAGCAGGGCCCCCCTCCCTCACATCTCAATAGGCCCCAGGCCCCCTCCCATCTCAGCAGGCCCCTCCTTCCCATCCCAGTAGGCCCCAGGACCCCTCCCATCTCAACAGGCCTCAGGACCTGTCTCATCTCAGCATGCCCTCCCACCCCTCCTATCCCATCAGGCCCCAGGCCCCCTCCCATCCCAGCAGGCCTCTCCTTCTCATCCTAGAAAGCCCAAGGACCCCTTCCATCCCAGAAGGCTCCCCAATCCCTCCCATCCCAGCAGACCCCAGAGCTCCTCCCATCTTAGCAGGCCCCAGGCCCCCTCCCATCTCAACAGGCCTCAGGACCTTTCTCATCTCAGCAGGCCCACCCCACTCCTCCCATCTCCTTAGGTCCCACAACCCCTTCCATCCCAGCACACCCCAGGACCCCTCCCATCCCAGCAGGCCCCAGGACCCCTCTCATCCCAGCAAGCCCCCTTCCATCCCACCCAGGACCCCTCCCATCCCAGCAGGCCCCAGGACCCCTCTCATCCCAGCAAGCCCCCTTCCATCCCACCCAGGACCCCTCCCATCCCAGCAGGCCCCGTGCCCCCTTCCATCCCAATAGGCCCCAGGACTCCTTCCATCTCAGCAGGACCCAGGCCCCCCCCATCTCAATAGGCCTCAGGACCTGTCCAATCTCAGCAGGCCCACCCCACCCCTCCCATCTCCTCAGGTCCCACAACCCCTTCCATCCCAGCAGGCCCCAGGCCCCCTCCTGTCCTGACCACTGCTGTCCATGCCCTGATCTCACCCTTCCTCGTGAGTGTGAGGCAGCAGGGCAGGATGGGGGAGATGGTTGCTCAGCTGGAGGGCAGAGGAACCGTGCACGTCCCCCGCCTCCTTCCGTGGGTTAGAAAGCTCTGGCAGGGCCATGCTGGGTGACCCGTGCTGTGACCAGCCTTGCCACGTGTCTGCAGTCACATCAGGCAGGAACATGGTCCTTGAACTGGAACGCGGTCACTGAACCGGGGGTTCTGAGGTGAAGGCTTCAGAAGCTTCTTCTCTGGTCATAGCTATCCCTTCCCCCAACCCCAGGAGGCCCTCCAGCGCCCCTGTCCTTAGGTTCATCAGTGGAGATCAGAATGTCCCCCACCCCGAGTCTTCTAATGCCAGAGGACCACGTCCACCCTGGGGACGCGGGATAACAAGTTCAGGGCGGTGTACACACCACAGTGGCCTCTCAGCAGCAGCCCTCAGGGTCCTCCCACACACGGCAGGCAGTGTGGTCCTGGGGCTCCAAACCCGGTCACCCAGGTCCCTGTGGAAGGTCTGCATGTCCACCTGGGTGTGGACAAGTTCCTGCCAGCACCCCAGCTCTGAGAATGGCTATCGTAAGGTCTGTCCTTCGCTGCCACCTGCCAAGGGGAAACAGGGTTGACCAGGGCACTTGGGGTTGGAAATTGGCTTGGGGAAATGAGATCCCTGGGAAGATAGCCGTTCCCTGGAGGACCCAGTGAGGAGGCTATCAGGAGCCACGACCTGAAGGAGCTAAGTCCTCCGGCCTGGCCCTCCCTCCTGGGAGGCAGGGATGCGAGAGGGGTCTCTGTGCAGGAAGGAGAGAGTCACGCCTGCCTGCCTGCCTGCCTACTCCGTCCTTCTGTGGCTTCTGTGGGAGGCCCCTGGCTCGAGGAAGCTGCGGGTGCGGCCGAGGGTCTGGTCAGGGCTGGCTGGGGATCCGGACGTCCTATGACGTCTTCAGGCCCGGCTGGGCTCAGGGAATGCCATCTGCCTGGCAGACCGCTGTGCCAGTGTCCCCAGACGTGAGAGGAGTGCCGAAAAGCGCGGACCATTCTGGGGGACCCGAGTCCACTCTGGCAGACGTGATTCGTGTTTCCAGAAAGCACGTCTCACCCTGAAAGGTGGGCTTGTCCCCCACACGCCCACCCTTCCTGGCAGTGGAGGGGGCAGAGTAAACAATGTGGGAGGCCCACCAACTTTGACGGAGATCAGCAAAACCCACACCTCTCAGACTCCCATGGCAGGCCTTCTGGAACGTTCTGTGTCCTTTTTAGGGTGACCACTCAGGAAGGACTGAAGTGGGGCTGTTGTTCCTCAGGTGAACATCTGAAGCTCAGATGCGGCACACGGGTTCCCACATGGGTTTGAGACTCTGAATGCAGGGGACAGACAGACCCTCTCTCTCTAGCCGGTTGGCGGATCCCAAGGTTACTCTGAAGGGGACAGAGTTCATAGCCAGTCGTGGTGCCCCCATGGACTAGGCTTCCTGGGGAGCTGTCATGTCCTTCCTGGGCGTGTGTGGCAGAGCCGCTGGACATGGCTGTCAAGGGGGCAGTCGGGCATCAGGGAGGGAAGGGAAGGGGTCGCTCATGCTGAGAGCAGAGAGACCAGGCCCAGCTCCTCACGGGACGTCAACTGTGTCCCGAGAGCAGGGAGACCAGGCCCAGCTCCTCACGTGGCGTCCACTGTGTCCCAGGAGTGGGGAGACCAGGCCCAGTTCTTCACGGGGCGTCCACTGTGTCCCGGGAGTGGGGAGACCAGGCCCAGCTCCTCATGTGGCGTCCACTGTGTCCACAGAGGTGCTGCCACTGCTGCCTGCTCGGAAGGGCGGCCCAGGCCCAGGGCCAGAGCTGTGAGTACAGCCTGATGGCCGGCTACCAGTGTGGCCTGGTCTTCCGGGCGTGCTGCGTCAAGAGTCAGGAGGCCGCGGACTTCACGCCTGGGGACGTCGGGGACCTCCAAGAGACACGTGAGCCCAAGTCCCCTGGGGGTGGTAGGGTCATGCACAGTCCTGTCGACCCCTCTGTACGGAGTGATTGGAGTTGTCACTGTGTCTGGGGGTGGGGTCCAGGAGGGAGACAAAGGACGTGGGTTTCAGAACTGGACAAATCCGAGGTCCAGTGTGGTGTGAGCTGAGGGTGGCTGGTACGTCCAGACCTCAGTTCTCCCATATGGGAAATGGGTATGACAACATCTCCACGCTGATAGTCTCCCAGTGCATAGGACAGTTGTGTGGGTGCCCGAGCCACTGAGAGTGGAACCGTAAAGGGAGAGTTTGGAATATCGTGACCATAACCAGCGTGGGGCCGACAGAGCATGTGCTGTCGGGAAGTGACGTCTGTAGACTTTTTTCGTGCAGGGTCACCCCGACCCTCCTCGTTCTGTGAGAAACTCACAACCTTAGACGTGCAGGTGACGAGGTGTGCCTGTGATGGTCACCTCCCAGCAAAAGCAGGGTCCCTGGTGGCCAGTTAAGTGCTGGACAGTCACCATTGTGTACCCCAGGGCCGATTCCCCTCGTGCTGAGGCCACAGCAGAGAATAGCCTGTGGGGTTTCCTGGGTGACAGTCCTGGGAGCACATCCTAGGCCACATCTCTGGGGGACTGAGGGTGGGTTCCCGCAGGTGACAGCTGAGCTCTAGACCGTTCCTGCCACCAGGGCTCCTTAAGGCCTGGACTGCTGGCTGGAAACACTGTGGAAGAAAGGCCTGGAGATGTGCTTTCAGAATGGTCTCAGGTTCGAGAAACCTGGGAGCATTCTATATGTGGGGTCCACTGAGCCACGGTCAGCTTGACCACCACTCAACACAGCAGCACAGCAAAGGGGCAGTGGTCCCAGGGCCGTTTCAGGAGCACGTCCAGGGTGTCTCCACACTGCTGTCTTGTCTTCCGTCCTGCTGTCTGTCCTCTGTTCTGATGTCTGTCCTCTGTCCTGCTGTCAGTCCTCCGTCCTGCTCTCTGTCCCCCGTCCTGCTGTCTGTCCTCTATTCTGATGTCTGTCCTCTTTTCTGCTGTCTGTCCTCCGTCCTGCTGTCTGTCCTCCTCTCTGCTGTCTGTCCTATATCCTGTCCTCTGTCCTGCTGTCTGTCCCCCGTCCTGCTGTCTGTCCTCTGTCCTGC